CCGGGGCAAGGGCCGGGCGGGGATCCGCCTGCGGTCGGCCCTGAAGGCTGCCTGGGAGCCAGGTGGGCAGGGACGGCGCTGGCGAGGCTGCAGAGCACCAGCCGGCGAGGGGATGGCGCCGCGGTGCCGCCCGGCACTCCCCTCCTCGCTCCCCGGCTCGCCTCCTCTCCCCGCGCTCGGGGCCACCCGCTGCGGGGCTGGAGGAGTCCGCTCGCTCCTCCCGGCTTTACTCCCTCGGCTTATCTGCCGGCGACTCGTCTGCCAGCCCCGGGGAAAGTGCAGCCATTGGACAGGTCGGTGCTGCCGCCGGTTTCTGGGAGGAAGGTGGGAGCAGGCTGGAGGAGCGAGGGGGAGGGCGCAGGGCGGAGGGAGGAGGGTACCGCGGCGCTCTGGCAAATTGCGAGCCGCCTTCCCTCCCCAAAGTGTGGAGCAGGAGCGCGGGCGAGCGCGGCGGCGGCGCCTCCTCCGCCACCAAACTCCAGGGCTCGCCGTGGGCTCGGGGCCACCTTCTCCTTAGCCAGGCGGAGCCCTCTCCCGATAGGTTTCAGCCTGAGCCTCCCCCCCTTTTTCCTTCCCCCCCTTTTTTTGAAACACATTTTTCCTGGCTTCGGACCTCACACTGCTGCAGCTCGAACCTTCCCTGGGCTCGGCTCTCTGGGGCTGCCCATCCCTCCGGCTCGGAGGAAGGACGCTCGCCCGGCGTCGGGCGAAGAAAAGAAGAAAAACTTGTCGGAGGGGTTTCGCCAGCCCTCAGGAACCCCCTTCCCGCAAACCCACACCTCCCGCGGGGCCCATCCCACGACTGAGGAAAGTTCCTTCCAGGCCGACCGCCCTCCGGGATCTGGAGGAGGCACGGCGCAGGCTGTGGAATTAGGTCTGTTTGCAACCCAGCGGAGCGCATCGCTGGGGCTCGGGAGTCAGCGCCCGCGGGCACCGGGGTGGCGCTGCCTGCCTGCAGCCGAGAGTTTGCGAGCCCTGCTGCAAGTGGCCTTTCTCTGCGCAGTTCTGTGTCCAGTGCGGGCTGCGAGTGTGGCAAGTTGCGAAGAGAGACCCGGAGGTCCGGACAGCTGCGCTCCCCTTGCGCTCTTCTCGCCTAAAGCTTGTGAAATCCCGGCGACATTGACCAAGGCCTCCGGGTGCCGCCGAGACCGATCTCAGCAGCGCTCGGCCCGGTCGCCTCCACTGCCGCCCGGAGCCGGCCGGGGAGCATAGAGCGCAGGGGAAGGACTGGCGGGGCGTGGAGGGAGGCGGCGGCGGCGGCATGGCGAGGTTCCCGAGGGCCGACCTGGCCGCGGCAGGAGTTGTGCTACTTTGCCACTTTTTAATGGACCGGTTTCAGTTGGCGGAAGGGGAGCCTGGAGATCAGGTCAACGGTAAGATCCACTTTCGCTTGTTGATTTTTGGTGGCGGCGAAAGATCTCCCTGGCACCTCCATTCGCAGTCCGCCCCCACCTTTTCTGTCTGCCCTTGGGAAAGTTACTAAGTTGCTTTTCGGGTGAACTTGAGCTTTCCTAAATGGGGAGCTGACAAGAGAGGGATGGTGGGGACCCACCGTTTTTTGTGGTTTTCAGGCTTGCTGCTTCTGGGCAGCAGGGGGTGGTACTGTTACCCCAAGTCGCCCGGAGAAGGCTCCCGTGCTGGTGTTAGAGCAGACCTGTGAACGCATCGCCCGGGAGGTGGCATCCCCAGGCTGTCTCCCCTCGGTTCCTCCTTCCCTGCTGCTTGGCTAAAACCAGGAGTAGGTGGTGGGTATGGGTGAGGGACTCGGTGGCAGGCGGGGATTACAGGTCCCCCCTTAGCAGGAGACAGTTCCGTGTGGCCACACTTTCCTCTCCCAGGCGATTGATCTCGTCGGTTTCCCTTTCAGGGTCTGGGCCATAGTAGGCGCTGCCTTGGGGTGGGGTAGGTACCAGGACCAGAGTTGCGGAGGTGGGAAAGGTGGGGGCGGGCGCGCCTCTGGAGACCAACCCCTGTCCCATTGTCCTCCGCCTGCGGGTATCACGGGCAGGCCTGAGCGTGCTGGGCTTCCTCTGTCCCAGTGCCCTGACACTGTCCCCGCAAGGAGCTCCAGCCTCCTCATCTTCCCAGGGGCAGAGCCCCCTTCCCCAGCCATTGCACCCATCTGGTGCGCTTCCTGCGGGGAGCCGCGCCTCCGGGGCGAGCGCCTAGTTCACAGTGTGGGCTGCCTCCCCCGACTCTGCCCACCAAACCCTGCGCCTGGTCCCCAAAAAATCCTGCTCGTCAGTGAAGATAGTGAAGAAACCGCAAAAGAGAGCTTGGCAGAAATTTGTGAATTGGAGTAGAGAAGAGGTGAAATGAGCAAGAAGATACTTGGAGGGAAAAAATAAAGAAATGGAAACTTTCTGGATAGGAAATCAATTTTTTAGGATAATCAGTTTTGTTTTGTGGCGCGTGTGTGTTGTGTGCGCCTGCATCTGCGTACTGTTGGGTAGAAGGGGCCTGATAAATGGTTCCCCAGAAAGTATGTATTCGTCTCCCAGCAGCAAACTTGAGAGTAGCTGATGCAAAGCTAGGGAGGGTACCTGGGGATTCCAGGTAGGATGAGTCTGGAAGGAAGGCCTTGAATCTTGACTGAAGGTTTTTGCCAAGCTGAGCCTTGGAAGGCAGTGGAACATTACGTCTGTCCCTGTGTAAATTTTTTATAAAGAAAATACAGATACTGGCTCCGCGCCCCTAAGTATAATCGGAGGGGTGTGCGCATTGGAGAGTATGGGAGGGCAACGTGATTACAACACTTCAAGCTGAGAGTAAAGTGCGCGTTTTCTGGGTGATGATTTGTCACAGCATTGTTCTGTATTAATGAACAGCTTATTCTTAATTGTGTATGATTTATGGCAGTGCGCTGTGCCCTCTGTTTATTTCTCTGATACATTTCACTGGTTGAAAAAAATAATACTTTTATTCCTCCCCAAACAATACATTTCTTAAAAAGGTGCAGCAGTAATTTTCATGGGCGTATTCATGGAATAAATAAATGCTTGCAGAAAGCAATTTGTTTCATCACAAAGAAGGTTGGAGGAGTGAATGTGCCAAAATGCATCCTAGGTTCTTTAAAACTTTGGCACCAGGAATAAATAATACATTTACAGTAAATAATGAAAAGAAAGGTCAGCAATGTTTTTTCCTGAACCCTTTTTCATTTTTAATGTTCCTGAGAAAAGAGCACATACACACACACACACACACACACACACTGAATTTGCCAATTTTAGTTCTCAGGTTAAGGAATGAAATTCATTCACTGTAAAATTAACCAGATAATTAAAAGTTTTTACTTTGGGAAATATAAAACACCCAGATTGCTCAACTGATGAATATACTGGTATTTAAAACTAATCCAATATTTCTGGTAGAAATCTGCCGGAGAAACTCACGTATTTATAGGAATGAGTAAAAAACAGTTTTAAAGTTCTTGGCACATATTTGGAGACTTTATTATAAACTGCAGTAGCTTCTTTCCTGGATATCAGTCTACATATAGTTTTATGAAGTAATCTTGGAATTAAATGGTTAGTCCACTGTACGTATAAAACGTAACAAGGAGAAAGAAGATAAAACTATGGTTTCCTTTGTAAAGTAGCCTATTAGCAGTTCAATATGGAGGAGAAAAGTTCAGCAAGTCTAGAGATTTGGCATGTAGCAATCAAGATTTTTATTTACAGACATTTTGGCACAGAAAATACGATTTCGTAACAGGAAATTTATTATGCATTACTTTAGCAAATGCTGCAGTTGACTTTATTGCCACCAGAGGGCAGAGAAACTGCTTATTCTATTCTTATTTCTAATATTTCTGTGTTCCAGAAGCAAGTCGTTTATGTTTCGCATTTTTCATGGGCTTATTTTAGTTCCTTCTCTGGTTGAATATCTTCCTGTTGTTTTCTCCTTTCATTGGAGTTAAGCAATTCAGGTTGAAATATTACTAATTTATAGAGTGTAATGAGGGTATCTCTGTTCAGATGTACTGTCACTGGTGTAAAGTGTCTATAAAATGAACCTGGGTCAAATTATTGGGCAAATGACTTTGTTAATTACTGTTATCAATTGTTACTAACAAATTAGTTTTATCAATGAATCAATGAAGATACAAGCACTTTTTTTTTTTTTCTTTGAGAGATTTTTGCTATAGATCATGGGCGCTGGCTGGAGAGACACACAGACAAAGACAGAAAGCAAGATATCACCTGCTAGTGGGGATGGCCACACCTCAGTCCCTTCTCCTCCATTCTCCTCTCAGGATTTTTGACATACATGCACACACTCCCAGCATGAGTTTTCATCCGCTGGGTCCAGGACTCGAACCATAGTCAACTATGAGGGAGTCCAGTGACATAACCATTTCACCATTTGCTGGTCCCACAAACACTTTTTACATACAAAATATGAGAGTTTTTTTTTTTTCCTTTGGGGAATAGATACAAGTAGAAGGCTAAGTTTGGGTAAGTTTGAAATAGTTTTAAATTAACATAATAGTACATTTTTATAAGGTACAGTGTGTTTTTTTCAATACATACACACCCCATGTAGTAATCAAATTACAGCCATAAATATATCCATCATTTAAGCATTTATGATTTTTTTGTGTTGTGAACATTTGAATTCCTTTCAAAATATTGGGTTGTTGGAAAAAACATGACTCATTTTTTTCTATGTAAAATGGAGTCATGACTTTTCTGACAACCAAATAATTAAAAAGAGGATTGAAATGATTCTCAGTAGGATAATTTGCACATGCACTAAGTTTGAGCTTTAGAAATAAACTCTTATGAGGGAACACATGTTTACTGAAACTTAGTAGTGGAAGATACTGATTCTTTTTGATTAGTTTGTCTTACTTTTTTTTTTTCCTAAAAGGTACTATCTATTACAGGTATGGTATGTTTTTAAGGAGGGATGAATTGATTGCTAGCTATCATCCAGAGATTTAAAGTCTTCAGCTATTTCCCTACTCCACTTGATATAGTTAATTTCTTCCCAGTGGTCTTTGAGACTGTGGCAATATGGTTTCAACCACATACCCAGCCTTCTCTCCCCTGTGAGTTCACTCTAACCAGATGAGCACCGTGGTGTTCCCTGCGTGTGTGCCTTTTTTTTTTTTTTTTTTTTTGTGGGATTTACTTGTTTTTTTTTTTTTTTTTTTTTTTTTGGATTTACTTTACTTTGCCTGATACAAGATTTTTTCCCTTTTCATTTCTGCATCTCTCTCATATATTCCATTAGGTCAGATCACAACATTCTTTCTTTTTCTTTTCTTTTCTTTTCTCTTCTCTTTCTCTACTCCTCAAAACTTTCCCTTCCCTCTCTTCCCCTCCTTTTCCCTCCCCTCCCTTCTCCTCCTCTCCTCTTTTCTTTTCTTTCCTTTTTTAAGGTTTTTGTCTTACGAGAGAGAGAGAGAGAGAGAGAGAGAGAGAGAGAGAGAAGGAAAGTGAGAAATCACTGCCCAGGGGAATGGCCATACCACAGTCACCTCTGCTCCATTCTCCTCATAGAATTTTGGGCATGCACACATACATGCCCAGCATGATTCCAAGCCACGAGGTCTACGACTCCGATGATGGTCAGCCATGTTGGAATTCAGCACTTTAACTACCTTGTCACCTGCTGGCCTTAAGACCACACAGTCTTGAGGTCAGGGTCTATTGTCATTCATTTCTGAATGTGGTATGGCATCTACCACACATGCATGTAATAGTTGTTGAATTGAACTGCACTGAGTAGAATTACAGTGCAGGCTGGATTATTGCCTTAAGTGTCACCTTGGGATAATTAAAAAAAATTCTCTATAACTCTTTTCAACAGTGATACAGAAATGAATAAGAGACTAGTTTCACAGAATAATAGTTTAAAACAAGAGCATGGGGTCCAGAGGTCTGCCAAATGTCCTAATGCTACTGGCAGATAGTTTTTACCTGAACATAATATTACTGGATAAACTTTTGAAAAAGTCATTTCACCATTCTACTAAACTTCTTTCTGGTGGTGACTGAATAGTCACTCATGTTCTTAATCAAATATATATTTTCTTTTAAAATTTTTATTTTATTTATTTAAGGTTTATTACTTTTTTTCTTAGAGATTTTTTTGCCATAGGGTGCGTGCACTTGCCAGAGAGACAGAGACAAAGAGATAGAAAGTGAGAAGTCACCCCCTGAGAGGGATGGCCAGGCCATGGCCTTCCCTTCTATTCTCCTCCTGGGATTTTGGGATTTTGGACATACACGTACATGCACTCAGTATGAACTTTAAGCCCCAGAGAGACAGAGACAAAGAGATAGAAAGTGAGAAGTCACCCCCTGAGAGGGATGGCCAGGCCATGGCCTTCCCTTCTATTCTCCTCCTGGATTTTGGACAT